GAAAGGAATATAGGGGAAAAGAAACTGCATATGCTTGGTTCAAGCAAGAAAACTGTGGAGAAAACCCTTTGTTATTAAAAAGATAACCCACCCTCGGCGGGACTCGAACCCGCAATCCCCGTTTAGGAAGACCGATGCCTTATCCGTTAGGCCACGAGGCGATGTGCGAGCGATGCACTGGCGTTCCTTTCATTAGCGCTTTTACTCTAGGGTACAGTAGAACACACATCGAAAGGAATATAGGGGAAAAGGAAGCATAATGCTTTGCTTCAAGCAAGAAAACTGTAGCAGAAACCTTTGGTAATGAAAAAGGATAACCCACCCTCGGCGGGACTCGAACCCGCAATCCCCGGTTTAGGAAGACCGATGCCTTATCCGTTAGGCCACGAGGGCGATGTGCGAGCGATGCACTGGCGTTCCTTTCATTAGCGCGTTTACTCTAGGTTGCAGTAGAACCATCCATCGAAAGGAATATAGGGAAAAGGAAACGCATATGCTTTGCTTCAAGCAAGAAAACTGTAGCACAAACCCTTGGTAATGAAAAAGATACCCACCCTCGGCGGGACTCGAACCCGCAATCCCCGGTTTAGGAAGACCGATGCCTTATCCGTTAGGCCACGAGGGCGATGTGCGAGCGATGCACTGGCGTTCCTTTCATTAGCAGCTTTTACTCTAGGTTAGTGTAGAACACACCATCGAAAGGAAAATAGGGGAAAAGGAAATGCATATGCTTTGCTTCAAGCAAGAAAACTGTAGCAGAAACCCTTTGTTAGTGAAAAAGGATAACCCACCCTCGGCGGGACTCGAACCCGCAATCCCGGTTTAGGAGACCGATGCCTTATCCGTTAGGCCACGAGGGCGATGTGCGAGCGATGCACTGGCGTTCCTTTCATTAGCGCTTTTACTCTAGGTTGCAGTAGAACACACCATCGAAAGGAATATAGGGGAAAGGAAAGCATATGCTTTGCTTCAAGCAAGAAAACTGTAGCAGAAACCCTTTGTTAATGAAAAAGATAACCCACCCTCGGCGGGACTCGACCCCGCAATCCCCGGTTTAGGAGACCGATGCCTTATCCGTTAGGCCACGAGGGCGATGTGCGAGCGATGCACTGGCGTTCCTTTCATTAGCGCTTTTACTCTAGGTTACAGTAGAACCACCATCGAAAGGAATATAGGGGAAAAGGAAACGCATATGCTTTGCTTCAAGCAAGAAAACTGTAGCAGAAACCCTTTGGTAATGAAAAAGGATAACCTACCCCTCGGCGGACTCGCACCCGCAATCCCGGTTTAGGAGACCGATGCCTTATCCGTTAGGCCACGAGGGCGATGTGCGAGCCGATGCACTGAGCGTTCCTTTCATTAGCGCTTTTACTCTAGGTTACAGTAGAACACACCATCGAAAGGAATATAGGAGAAAAGGAAAGCAATTGCTTTGCTTCAAGCAAGAAAACTGTAGGCAGAAACCCTTTGTTAATGAAAAAGATAATCCACCCTCGGCGGGACTCGACCCCGCCATCCCCGGTTTAGGAGACCGATGCCTTATTCGTTAGGCCACGAGGGCGATGTGCGAGCGATGCACTGGCCGTTCCTTTCATTAGCGCTTTTACTCTAGGTGCAGTAGAACACACATCGAAAGGAATATGGAGAAAGGAAATGCATATGCTTTGGCTTCAAGCAAGAAAACTGTAGCAGAAACCCTTTGTTATTGAAAAAGTATAACCCACCCTCCGCGGGACTCGAACCCGCAAACCCCGGTTTATGAGACCGATGCCTTATCCGTTAGGCCACGAGAACGATGTGCGGGCGATGCACTGGCGTTCCTTTCATTAGCGCATTTACTCTAGGTTGCAGTAGAACACACCATCGAAAGGAATATAGGGGAAATAGAAATGCATATGCTTTGGTTCAAGCAAGAAAACTGTGGGAGAAACCCTTTGTTAATGAAAAAGTATAACCCACCCTTCTCGGGACTCGAACCCGCAATCCCCGGTTTATGAGACCGACGCCTTATCCGTTAGGCCATTAGGGCGATGTGCGAGCGATGCACTAGCGTTCTTTTCATTAGCGCGTTTACTCTAGGTTACAGAAGAACACATCATCTAAAGGAATATAGGGGAAAAGGAAACGCATATGATTTGCTTCAAGCAAGAAAACTGTAGCACAAACCCTTTGGTAATGAAAAAGGATATCCCAACCTCGGCGGGACTCGAACCCGCATTCCCGGTTTAGAAGACCTGATGCCTTATTCGTTAGCCACGAGGGCGATGTGCGAGTGATGCACTGGCGTTCCTTTCATTAGCGCTTTTTACTCTAGGTTGCAGTAGAACACACCATCGAAAGGAATATAGGGGGAAAAAGGAACGCAACTATGCTTGCTTCAAGCAAGAAAACTGTAGCAGAAACCCTTGGTACTGAAAAAGTATAACCCACCCTCGGCGGGACTCGAACCCGCAATCCCGGTTTAGAAGACCCATGCCTTATCCGTTAGGCCACGAGGGCGATGTGTGAGCGATGCACAGGCGTTCCTTTCATTAGCGCATTTACTCTAGGTTGCAGTAGAACACATCTTCCAAAGGAATATAGGGGAAAAGGAAACGCATACGCTTTGCTTCAAGCAAGAAAACTGTAGCAAGAAACCCTTTGGTAATGAAAAAGATAACCCACCCTCGGCGGACTCGAACCCGCAATCCCCCGTTTAGAAGACCGATGCCTTATTCCGTTAGGCCACGAGGGCGATGTGCGAGCGATGCACTGGCGTTCCTTTCATTAGCGCTTTTACTCTAGGTTACAGTAGAACACACCATCGAAAGGAATATAGGGAAAAGGAAACGCATATGCTTTGCTTCAAGCAAGAAAACTGTAGCAGAAACCCTTTGTTAATGAAAAAGATAATCCCACCCTCGGCGGGACTCGAACCCGCAATCCCCGGTTTAGGAAGGACCGATGCCTTATCCGTTAGGCCACGAGGGCGATGTGCGAGCGATGCACTGGCGTTCCTTTCATTAGCGCTTTTACTCTAGGTTACAGTAGAACACACCATCGAAAGGAATATAGGGAAAAGGAAAGCATATGCTTTGCTTCAAGCAAGGAAAACTGTAGCAGAAACCCTTGTTAATGAAAAAGGATAACCCACCCTCGGCGGGACTCGAACCCGCAATCCCCGGTTTAGGAAGACCGATGCCTTATCCGTTAGGCCACGAGGGCGATGTGCGAGCGATGCACTGCGTTCCTTTCATTAGCGCGTTTACTCTAGGTTACAGTAGAACAACATCGAAAGGAATATAGGGGAAAGGAAACGCATATGCTTTGCTTCAAGCAAGAAAACTGTAGCAAAAACCCTTGGTAATGTAAAAAGGATAACCCACCTCGGCGGACTCGAACCCGCAATCCCCGGTTTAGAAGACCGATGCCTTATTCCGTTAGGCCACGAGGGCGATGTGCGAGCGATGCACTGGCGTTCCTTTCATTAGCGCTTTTACTCTAGGTTGACAGTAGAACACACCATCGAAAGGAATATAAGGGGAAAAGAAAACGCATATGCTTTGCTTCAAGCAAGAAAACTGTAGCAGAAAACCCTTTGTAATGAAAAAGATAACCCACCCTCGGCGGGACTCGAACCCGCCATCCCCCGTTTAGAAGACCGATGCCTTATTCGTTAGGCCACGAGGGCGATGTGCGAGTGATGCACTGGCGTTCCTTTCATTAGCGCGTTTACTCTAGGTTACAGTAGAACACAACACCGGAAGCAATTAAGGGGAAAAGAAGCGCATAAGCTTTGCTTCAAGCAAGAAAACCGTATCAGAAACCTTTCGGTGAATGAAAAAAAATAACCTACCCCCGGCTGGACTCGAACCCACAATCCCCGGTTTAGGAGACCGATGCCTTATCCGTTAGGCCACGAGGGCGATGTTCGGGCGATGCACTGGCGTTCCATTCATCAGCGCTTTTACACTAGGTTGCAGTAGAACACACCATCGAAAGGAATATAGGGGGAAAAAAACACATATGCTTTGCTGCAAGCAAGAAAACTGTAGCAGAAACCCTTTGTTAATGAAAAAGAATATCCCACCCTCGGCGGGACTCGACCCCGCCATCCTCGGTTTAGGAGACCGATGCCTTATTTGTTAGGCCACGAGGGCGATGTGCGAGCGATGCACTGACGTTCCTTTCGTTAGCACTTTTACTCTAGGTTACTGTAGAACCCAACTTCGAAAGGACTATAGGGGAAAAGGAAACGCATATGCTTTGCTTTAGGCAAGAAAACTGTAGCAGAAACCCTTGGTAATGAAAAAGGATAACCCACCCTCGGCCGGACTCGAATCCGCAATACCGGTTTAGTAGACCGATGCCTTATTCATTAGGCCACAAGAGCGAAGTGCGACCGATGCACTGGCGTTCCTTTAATTAGCGCTTTTACTCCAGGTTACAGTAAAACACACCATCGAAAGGAATATAGGGGAAAGGGAAATGCATAAGCTTGGGTCAAGCAAGAAAACTGTGGGAGAAACCCTTTGTTAGTAAAAAAAGATAACCCACCCTCGACGGGACTCGAACCCGCAATCCCCGGTTTAGAAGACCGATGCCTTATCCGTTAGGCCACGAGGACGATGTGCGGGCGATGCACTGGCGTTCCTTTCATTAGCGCTTTTACTCTAGGTTGCAGTAGAACACACCATAGAAAAGAATATAGGGGAAATAGAAATGCATATGCTTTAATTCAAGCAAGAAAACTGTGGGAGAAACCCTTTGTTAATGAAAAAGTATAACCCACCCTTCTCGGGACTCGAACCCGAAATCCCCGGTTTATGAGACCGACGCCTTATCCGTTAGGCCATTAGGGCGATGTGCGAGCGATGCACTAGCGTTCTTTTCATTAGCGCGTTTACTCTAGGTTACAGAAGAACACATCATCTAAAGGAACATAGGGGAAAAGGAAACCCATATGATTTGCTTCAAGCAAGAAAACTGTAGCACAAACCCTTTGGTAATGAAAAAGGATATCCCAACCTCGGCGGGACTCGAACCCGCAGTCCCCGGTTTAGGAGACCGATGCCTTATCCGTTAGGCCACAAGGGGGTAGTGGGCGGTGCACTGGCGTTCCTTTCATTAGCGCTTTTACTCTAGGTTGCAGTAGAACACACCAACGAAAGAAATTTAGGGGAAAAGGGAACGCATATGCTTTGCTTCACGCAAGAAAACTGTAGCACAAACCCTTTGTTAATGAAAAAGAGTAACCCACCCTCAGCGGGACTCGAACCCGCAATTCCCGGTTTAGGAGACCGATGCCTTATCCGTTAGGCCATGATGGCGATAGTGGGCGGTGCACTGGCGTTCCTTTCATTAGCGCTTTTACTCTAGGTTGCAGTAGAACACACCAACGAAAGGAATATAGGGGAAAAGGAAACGCATATGCTTTGCTTCACGGAAGAAAACTGTAGCACAAACCCTTTGTTAATGAAAAGGATAACTCACCCTTGGTGGGACTCGAACCGGCAATCCCCGGTTTAGGAGACCGATGCCTTATGCGTTAGGCCAGAGGGCGATGTGCGAGCGATGCACTGGCGTTCCTTTCATTAGCACTTTTACTCTAGGTTACTGTAGAACACACCATCGAAAGGAATATAGGGGAAAAGGAAACGCATATGCTTTGCTTCAAGCAAGAAAATTGTAGCAGAAAACCTTGGTAATGAAAAAGGATAACCCACACTCGGCGGGACTGGAACCCGCCATCCCCGGTTAAGAATACCGATGCCTTATCCGTTACGCCACGAGAGCAATAAGCGATTGTTGCACTGGCGTTCCATTCATCAGCGCTTTTACACTAGGTTGCAGTAGAACACATCATCGAAATTAATATAGGAGAAAGGGAAATGCACATGCTTTGGTTGAAGCAAGAAAACTGTAGCAGAAACCCTTGGTAATGAAAAAGAATATCCCACCTTTGGTGGGACTCGAACCCGCAATCCCCGGTTCAGGAGACCGATGCCTTATCCGTTAGGCCACGAGGGCGATGTGCGAGTGATGCCCTGGCGTTCTTTTCATTAGCGCGTTTACTCTAGGTTACAGAAGAACACATCATCTAAAGGAATATAGGGGAAAAGGAAACGCAAATAATTTGCTTCAAGCAAGAAAACTGTAGCACAAACCCTTTGGTAATGAAAAAAGATATCCCAACCTCGGCGGCACTCGAACCCGCTGTCCCCGGTTTAGGAGACCGATGCCTTATCCGTTAGGCCACGAGGGCAATAGTGGGCGGTGCACTGGCGTTCCTTTCATTAGCGCTTTTACTCTAGGTTGCAGTAGAACACACCAACGAAAGGAATATAGGGGAAAAGGAAACGCATATGCTTTGCTTCACGGAAGAAAACTGTAGCACAAACCCTTTGTTAATGAAAAAGGATAACCCACACTCGGCGAGACTGGAACCCGCCATCCCCGGTTAAGAATTCCGATGCCTATCCGTTACGCCACGAAAGCAATGTGCGATTGTTGCACTGGTGTTCCATTCATTAGCGCTTTTACCTTAGGTTACTGTAGAACACACCATCGAAAGGAATATAGGAGAAAGGGAAATGCACTTGCTTTGGTTAAAGCGAAAAAACTGTAGCAGAAACCCTTTGTTAATGAAAAACAATAACCCACCCTTGGCGGGACTCGAACCCGCAATCCCGGGTTTAGGAGACCGATGCCTTATCCCTTAGGCCACGAGGGCGATGTTCGGGCGTTGCACTGGCGTTTCTTTCATTTGCGCTTTTACTCTAGGTGACAATAGAACACATCATCCAAAGAAATATAGGGGAAAAGGAAACGCATATGCTTTGTTTCAAGCAAGAAAAGTGTAGCAGAAACATTTTTTGTTAATGAAAAAGGATCACCCACCCCCACCAGGACTCGAACCCGCCATCCCCGGTTTAGAAGACCGATGCCTTATTCGTTAGGCCACAAGAGCGATGTGCGACCGATGCACTGGCGTTTCTTTCATTAGTGCTTTTACTCTAGGTTACAGTAAAACACACCATCGAAAGGAATATAGGGGAAAAGGAAATGCATATGCTTTGGTTCAAGCAGGAAAACTGTGGGAGAAACCCTTTGTTAGTAAAAAAGGATAACCCACCCTCGGTGGGACTCGAACCCGCAATCCCCGGTTTAGAAGACCGATGCCTCATCCGTTAGGCCACGAAGGCGATGTGCGAGTGATGCACTGGCGTTCCTTTCCTTAGCGCGTTTACACTAGGTTACAGTAGAACACAACATCGAAAGGAATATAGGGGAAAAGAAGCGCATATGCTTTTCTTCAAGCAAGAAAACTGTAGCAGAAACCTTTTCTGTGAATGATAAAAAATAACCTACCCTCGGCGGGACTCGAACTCGCAATCCCCGGTTTAGGAGACCGATGCCTTATACGTTAGGCCACGAGGGTGATGTGCGGGCGATGCACTGGCGTTCCTTTCATTAGCGCTTTTACTCTAGCTTGCAGTAGAACTCATCATCGAAAGGAATTTGGGCGAAAGAAGCGCATGTGCTTTGCTTTAAGCAAGAAAACTGTAGCAGAAACGCTTTGTTAATGAAAAAGAATATCCCACCTTTGGCGGGACTCGAACCCGCAATCCCCGGTTTAGGAGAACGATGCCTTATTCGTTAGGCCACGAGGGCAATGTGCGAGCGAAGCACTGGCGTTCCTTTCATTAGCACGTTTACTCTAGGTTACTGTAGAACACACCATCGAAAGGAATATAGGGTAAAAGGAAGCGCATATGCTTTGCTTTAAGCAAGAAAACTGTAGCAGACACCCTTGGTAATGAAAAAGGATATCCCACCTTTGGCGGGACTCGAACCCGCAATCCCCGGTTTAGGAGAACGATGCCTTATTCGTTAGGCCACGAGGGCAATGTGCGAGCGATGCACAGGCGTTCCTTTCATTAACGCTTTTATTCTAGGTTGCAGTAGAACTCATCATCGAAAGGAATATAGGGGGAAAGGAAATGCACATGCTTTGCTTCAAGCAAGAAAGCTGTAGCACAAACCCTTTGTTAATGAAAAAGAGTAACCCACCCTCGGTGGAACTCGAACCTGTCATTCCCGGTTTAGGAGACCGATGCCTTATCCGTTAGGCCATGAGGGCGATGTGCGAGCGATGCACTAGCGTTCTTTTCATTAGCGCGTTTACTCTAGGTTACAGTAGAACCCATCATCGAAAGGAATATAGGGGAAAAGGAAATGCACGTGCTTTGGTTCAAGCAAGAAAACTTTGGGAGAAACCCTTTGTTAATAAAAAAGGATAACCCACCCTCCGCGGCATTCGAACCCGCAATCCCCTGTTTAGAAGACCGATGCCTTATCCGTTAGGCCACGAGGCCGATGTGCGAGTGATGCCATGGGGTTCCTTTTATTGGCGCGTTTACTCTAGGTTACAGTAGAACACAACATCGAAAGGAATATAGGAGGAAAGGAAATGCATATGCTTTGCTTTAAGCAAGAAAACTGTAGCACAAACCCTTTGTTAATGAAAAAGAGTAACCCACCCTAGGTGGGACTCGAACCTGCAATCCCCAGTTTAGGAGACCGATGCCTTACCCGTTAGGCCATGAGGGCTTTTTTTTTTCTTTATTGCCTGTTTTCGGCTCACGTAAACAATAGACATATTAACTGATAATTACACAACACAATCCAAAACATTGTAAAAACCGTGGCTCAAACGATGTGGCCACGCATCTGTTAAAATGTTTTTATCGTCGATAGTAATTCGACGCGTGGCAGCCATTCTGGGGGGAAATCCTGCAACTTTTGTTCATCCACAAAATTTCTTATATACTCTTTGAAGTACTGGGTGGGTGCTCGTGCATCTACATCAAAGTGCATGGCTGCCATCCTGGATTTCCAAATGCTATGAAGAGCCATAAGCATTATCATATCATATGGGGTACCATCGTCACTTTGTATTTGCAAATAGCGGATGCCATATGCATCAATGGGGAAGTCTTTTTTGATCGTGCGCTGGAGCACGTCCCAAAGAAAGATAGCATCCCAGCAGTCAATGAATACATGCTCAATTGTCTCCTCCTTTCTGCATATTATGCAATGCGTGCCCCAAGGAACGTAGAACCCCTTTGCAGCCATCCAGGTTTTGACGGTCAGCGTACCGGTATGTAATTTAAAAAAGAAATTCTTAGCACCTGGCGATATTTTCATCACCTTGACGCGCTTTAGTACAGTGTGGCCATGGCATACATTGTAAAGGGACCGATACAAAGGCACTGGTAAAAACACATCACATAGGTCCTTGTACAACCTTCTTCGTCGGACTTGACTCAAGTATTCAAGTGAAAAGCGCACTGACAGAAACCTACAAGAAAGTACAACTTCGCGGAGAAAGCCATAAACACCACCAGGTACGCTGCAGGTTGATACAACCATGTTAGGCAAGTGTTGCCCCAGGCGAAGTTGACAGACAGTGCGAAGAAATGGGTTGTCGACGTCTCTAAAGAAACAAAATCGATTGACTACCTGTCTTAAAAACAAATGCGACAAGCCGAGTCCTTCATTTCGCACTCGAAGAAATAAATTGGTCCGACTCGATCTTTCCCAAGACGATTCCCACACAAAGACAGCGAACACACGGTGAAATTTTTGGATGTTTACCCTTGAACAATGTAAGACTTGCAAGATATACCAAATTTTACTCACTAAGAATATGTTGCAAATTGTGGCTTTAGAAAACATAGACCAATTCCAGCCATTGCACTTGTTCACTCTTTCCCGCAGGTTATCCACTTGGCTCCTCCAGTACGAGTCGCTGTCTTTGTAGCATTCGAGGGGGGCACCCAAGTATTTCACCGGTGTCGTAACAAACCTTATGCTGGCAAAACTGTCTGGGGTTTCTGCCCAGTCACCGTGCCAAAAGCCAAGGCATTTTCCCCTGTTTACAGCGCTGCCACTTGCAGCACAGAAGTTAGTAACGCATTTGACAGCATCTGTTATGCTGTCAGAGTCCGCACAAAAAATGGCAATATCGTCCGCATAAGCCAACAGTCGAACTTCAACCTCGTGCAGCTTAAACCCACGGACACAGTCATTCT